TATATATATATATATATATATGCACCTGCCTGTAGATCTGTAAGTCATGTCTTAAGTTAGAACTGTGTACATGCAATCACACGTAGGCTTTGAGAATCACTTGGATGTTGTTCAGGAGACCACTGAAAATAGTTCGAGTAGCAGGTAAAGTTTGTTGTTGTTTTTTTTCTTGGGTTGTCTCTGAACACAGTATAGGGTGCAGATGCGATGCAACGGACAGTGACTTTGCATAGACACTTATGCCTGTTTTCTTACACTTATATGTATGTAATTTATTTCAGTTCTGTTATTTTCTATGCATTGTGCCAATTAAAGATGTTTTGAAGTCTTTACAACTGCGCGCTTCTTTCATGCAGTGTACGGATGGATACTACTCAATGAGTATAGCTATTTGATTATTGTATGAACGTTTATGATGGATTAGTTCTAAATTGTAAGCATGTTTACCTCACAGTTGACAGGTTGCGGGATTTGAATTTAATGGGTTTTCTCCTGGTACACCTGCTTCCTTTATCTCCCAAACATTCTTGTTCATATTTTGGTTACCTTATTTCGGCACAGGGGGGTAAATTATCGCTGCAGATTGAATGCACGTGATTGTGGTTTAAAAATAGTTGTTTTTTTTTTTTTTAGATACAATAGTTTATATCCCCCCCCACCACCACCACCAAGTAACATGGTTTATTGACATCCCAAATTATGCTAATCAGGCTGCTGTGACAGGTTATGGGCGTGGCTTCCGACGTCGACAGCCACGGAAGGAGATTGACCACGATAACGCGAGTGTTGATCAAAGAAAGCGTCGACATGACGCCAATTTTAAAATAAGTTGATCACGCAACGCTATTCATTACGTGTAGATGAACCGAGAACACAAAAACCCGTCGATAGGTCATTATTTACGTTTCATCTTAAACCCGGAAGTTGTAAGCGTTCATAACGTCGCGCCGGTATTTCCGTCCGACGTCTCGCCGACCCGTGATACAAAGAAGGCACAACACAAGCACGCTCTGTCCAGACTCAGTTTAGTATTTGTCTTCCTTTAAAACCCTCAAGTGTCTTACTTAGTTCTTCAGCGATAGTAACGTCAAGTCAGGATGTTGCTTCGTCTTTTTTCGATTGTTTTTTGTGGGCGGCGCAGGGGAGGCGTACAGCCAAAACCGACCTCATTAATTAGTCCCTAATCGAAACCAAATGGCTGTCTCGCGCTATAATTAATTGAAGAACACATTCAAAATAGAATGGAAAAGTCGGGCTTTTTCCTACATTAGGCAACCCTTCCTGAGAGCAAATGGCAGCAAATGAAGAAAAAGAACCCAAATAGCCACAGAGTCGAGTGCTTGACGTGCCAGTGGATGTGGCCGCAACATGGGAGGAAAACTTTCATTATTCTACGTAAGTAAAACTCCAGTCGCTTATGTCCACATTCGTCTGCATTTGGAGGTATCTAAACGGTCAGTCATTTCAAAATTACCAGCTGTAATTTTGATTGAAAGACAAACGCTTGCATTTCTTTTGTGAAGGTCCAGTTCAGTCACCTTAGATCGCATCGCTTGGTGTGCCAGCGGGCATAGTGTCAAGTTTGGGCAGCCCCGACCACAAGCCATTCACGTTGTTGCCTCTTCTCCCCTTGACAGCGTGAAAGGTCTTCGGCAATAAGGCTGTGGTTCAGTCTTCATTTCAACCCGGATCTTACCGCTCCTGTCCGGGTCCCAAAGTCTGGAGTGGCGCCCACGTGTGTGTTTGGCGTTTCCCTACAGACGCTGAGACAAAACGGGAAGATGATCCACGGCGTACCGCTCGTCTTACGAGATATGGTCGAGTTCTTGGAGAAAAACGGTAACCGCTGGGCACAACCTATGACGCGTCTTACTCTGTGTGAGTAATTGTCCCGCCAATTTGTGACTCCATTTTCTTTCGTCGTCAGCGATGGACTACAAAGATCTTTTTCGCGTGGGCGGCTCAGTGGCGAAGATCCACCAATTGAGACGGCGGCTGGATCATGGCGAGAAAGTCAATCTGGAGCTGGAGCAAGTGCCCACTGTGGCTTCGCTCCTCAAGCTCTTCTTTCAACAGCTGCCTGACCCCATCGTCCCCGAGTACCAACGCAGAAATCTCGTGCAGAGCTTCAGAGGTAATCTCGAACCGGCATGACCTTGGCAAAAAAAAAAAATGCCAGTTACAGCCAGTTGTTGATTTTAAAGCCAGTTCAACTATACCAACCATTGTGAGTCTCCTCCCCAAAGTAGATGTTTGTCCTAATGCCAAGACCGACCTGTAGGAGGCGCTGTGGTGCCACAGGGACATCGAGAAAAAAGAAAAATCCCTTGGAAAAACCTTGTACCTTGGTTTGCTTTGGTTGACTTTCCCTGCAGTTAGGGAACGCGATGCTAAATAAATCCCGCTTTTCTTTTGTATATAGAAGAAGAGAAGAACCATGATGTGCGCTTGCCAGAAGCTGAGCTGCACTGTGTTGGATTCCGTGCTCATTTTCTCACCTCAGCTTTTGCCTTCCCTAAAACATCCTGAGAACGCTGAAAAGCACTCCAACATATTGACATCATTCCACCTGCTCCACTATTTGTGTCTGGCAACAGCGCCATCCTAAGGTCGCTTCGTTATTGAGTCCCATTCCCTTGTTGGTATGTAGGTGTGCATATCCTGCTTTAGCCAATTCCTCCAGAGACTTTTACAAAATGTCTCAATCGGGGACCACCGGTGGTGTTTTCATGAGGAATGGGCTGAATAGTCTAATGAATTCACATTCCCGAGAGTAAATCACATGATTGTGAAGACTTGATGAAGTCGCATTCTTGTCCCTTTTCATGTTTACTCTGTAGCCAATCCAGACGAAGCCCAGTTGAACTTGGCCTTGAAAAAACACCTCTGCCGCATCCCGGACGACAACCTCGCCGTCCTGTTGTACTTTGCCGACTTCCTTTCCAAGTTGGCGGCTTGCAGCCAATTGAATCACATGACGGTGGACACCCTCGCCACCGTTTTTGGACCTTGCATCTTTCAGTAAGTTGTTGGAGGGGGACATGTAACGCTTGCACGCTTGAGCGTTGCGCATGCGGCTCACATGAGGCGTCCTGAGGGGTCCCTCAACCGTCTGGTGCTGTCAGGTTCATGGCTCTATTTTTACACGCCACATTGGAGACTTTGATGACTTCAAGCCGAACGCGTCGCCTCGACAAATTTGAATTCACATACTGATGATGTGAAAGCAATTACAACAAAATAGCAGCCACTTGGACCTCGGGGGCTGTCTTGTTGCTATGGCGACCTCCTCTCGCACCATTTAATGGTCTCGAATACTGGCAGCCGCGATAAATGGAGCCCAGTAGCAATGGAATTAAATCCCAATGTGTCCATACTTTGAATTTAATAGCAGCACAGTGATCTGATGAAGCCGTGTCGCGCGCAGCCTTGAAACTGCTCCCGAGATTTGAATTTTCGATTCATTTAATGTTTCGTTAACCCGGCAGGTCAGTTGCGAGTCGTTTCTCGATCTCGTCGAGGCTGCTACATTGCTAGCATGACTTATTCATGATGGCGTTTCGCCAAAAACGGAAGTGCTCCCGCTTTGATGTTCATCATTTCGAACTATTCTGTTAGATTTTAGCCTGCAGAAAAAAAAGCCGATAACATCCCCAAAAAAGTAACTTTGCAAAAATAATATTTTCTTAAAGGCAACGGTCACATCCGGGTCCCTCAGATCTCGAGACGCCGCTGGACAATCAAATGATGTTTGTGCTGTGCACGACCCTCTCCACTAGATGGCAGTGTTTCACAATTTTTTTTTTTTTGTTTCCCTTTGCAGCGTTCCCGCCGGCTCCAAGATGCTGGAGGAGCAGAACGTGTGCAACACCGTGATGGTCCATCTTATCCGGAAGCACAAGATCCTCCCTTTGCCCCCCGGCATCTCCCGCCCACCTTCCCCGGCGTCCTCCAACCCTCAACACTTCTGAGGTGACTTTTTGAAGTTCTTGCCAATGTCAAAAAAAGCTGAGTTATTATATATATAAAAAAAAAAACCCTCATATTGAAGACAGATGCTGAGCTCCTTGTGTGGACAACAGCCTGACCATGTTGTTTGAATGCGTGTGCTGCCGTCGCGTGTAGCGCACCGAATGGCCGACAACTGGCCAGATTGTGTTGTGTGTCGTATTTGGGCTCACGCTGTAATGGAAGGCAGCGAGTGAGCCTCCAGGGGAAGTGGCTTGTTGACTCTGGAGTGCTCTTTGCGCCTGCGAATCTCCTTTTGCTAATGGAAGCCTCCCTCACGTCAGCCGTCCGCTTGACTGCCGGCCACGTCGATGGAAAAGCGCCTTGTTGTTGTTGTTGTTTGCAGTCTTGTGCGCTTCATCTGTTGCTTCGCCGCGGGTGCCGCAGCCAAAGGTTTTCCTCCCGCGCAAACGCAGAAAAAAATTGAAGGATGCAATGGTCATGTTGATATTCTTCAACTTTAATTTATTTAACATCTTAAAACCGTTAATGGATTAGTTTTTAGTGTGAATCTCAAGAAAGGTCCTGATAGGAATTTTTATTTTTTGAGTCACAATGCAATCTTTTCGGCCAAAACAATCCCACTTTATATTATTCTGAATCTTTTCAGCGCGATGAGCTAGTGCTTAGCATGTTCTGACACAGGAATTAATTTACACCTTCTGAGTCACGATGGATTTTGTAATCCTCCGCAAGCAGCCACGGACCAAATTTTGTGACTGTCGAGTGTGAACGGTTGCTTGGCTGTTAAGTGTCCTGCAATGAAATGCTACCGGTCCAGGATGTACCCCACGCCGCTTGCCAAATGTCCGCTGGGATGAGCTCCAGCTCCAAAATGGATTTTCACTCCTGTTCATAGTTTGGCCTTGGTGGAGGGCGGAGGCCTTCGCTCAACTTGATGTTGCAGTCCTACAGCAGGCCCGTAATGACTCATCTGGGTCGTCGGATGTTTTTTAACCCTCAGCTTGTCGCACAAATCTATCGACGACGCCTGAGGTAGCTCATGACGTGATCTCTGGCATTGAAGGCCTACCTTTGTCACGAGAATTTACTAAACGACGAGAAACTACAACACTGGAACTAGATTCAACCCTGTCCGCTAAGCAATACACCGGAAATGGTGTGAAGAGGTTTCAAAATAAAAGGACAAACAGGAAGTGCTGCATTAAATGCCTTAATCTTGCTGGCTTAACAGTGTTTGATAAATCTGCCTTTGTTCAGTCAAATGTTTTGGATGCTTCTCATACTTGTTCAGATCAACACCTACGGTGATTTTGTACGCACATTCCCTTATAAATTTGATTGCTTGTGATTTTCAATCATGTGGCTCAAAGTAGCCGGCGTCTGATTTGCGTGACAAAACAAGTCATGTCACTTTGGTAAAGTTGGCTCGGAAGTTGTCCCCCACCCAAAAAAAAAAAGGCCTGGCTGACATTGCTGTTTTCATCTCCCCTGACGTGATGTGATTTCTTGGGACGCTGCGGCCCTTCTTGTCCTCCTTTGAGCCAGCTTGACTCGCCTTGGCTCGGCTCGTCCTGCGCTCGTTGTGACAAGTGGGTTATTGGAGCAGTGCGATGCCCACAGACACGCTTTTGATATGATTCCAGTCCAAATAACACGGAGCCGCCCAGGGGGTTGGGGGGGGGGGCGGGTCACATGACTGCTAACCGGCTACTTTGCGCTGCTGACCTAGTAGGGAGGGTGGCACACTGCTTCCAGAGAGCAGAGCTGCAGGACAGGTTGTCTCATTTGTGCCTCGCTGATGTCACGCATGACTAAAGCAGAACCTTAATGGACTTGCCAGATGGCCTCCGAGCAACACGGAGCCACAACACACACACACACACACACACACACATACATGAATACACAAACTTTGGGACAGATTTGAGACAATATTGATTCCAAATATAGACACCATTTGTCTCATAATTGTGTGTGTGTCACACGTCTAGTGCAAATGCGTGCAAAAAATGTGCTTTTTTTAATTACATTTTTTAATGTAATTATTATTATTATTTTTTTAACAGAACAAAACTGTTGAGTGCAAATTTTCCAACAAAAAAGCAGGTTAATGAGCGAATGTTGGTGTTTGGCGACCCAGGCTGCACTTTTCCATCCAGATCCACGGCGAGGGATGATTTTCGGCTCCGAGGGTCACGAAATGAACTTTGTGTCCTCGCAACACGTACATTTTTATTGCGGTTGCAGTTGCGTAAAACGAATTTTTCCAATATCTTTTCTCAGAATGAGGCCACTTCCTAGACGCATCGGTAAATTCATCCCTTCAAAAATGAATCCGAAACGAAAGGGAGATCTTTACAAGGGCAGAAACTTCCGTCACCACTCTCGAGATGTCCCGAATCCTGCACGTTGGCATTCAAAGCGCACAAACTTGTCGCAAAATCAGATTTTGTTTGTCATGTGGTTTCTGTCGCCGTTCCTTGTGTGTACGTGCCGCGCTCGATGGGCCGCAGCACAACGACACACCGTCACTGTGTTTGTCCCCCTTCAGGCAAAAGGAGGAGGAGGAGGTGGTGACGCTTCTCCTGATGCGCGCACACACACACACACACACACACACACACACACACACACACACACACACACACACACACACCCACACTGACAATTCCACTGGCTATGACGTCCAACGGATGCCTCCATCCTCGCTGCCATTTTTCGACTCCTAATCTGTGACAACGGGGCACCTTCGATGCTCGTGTAAGTATTTATTTTATTTTTGGACTTGCGTCTTGAAGCACGTTTGGTTGTGGCCCCCCTCCCTCCTCGTGTGCCGATGCCCTCTCCCGAAATCCTCCCCCGCCTTCCTCCCTTTCCTGCCCTTGTGACGCACTATGCTGTGTTTTTTTATGAATGAACAGCGCAGGAGCGTGAGAAAGGAGCGTCGGAAGCCATGATGATGATGATGATGTCAGAGCTACTTATATGCCCCCCCCCCCCACTTCGCGTCCTCTCCCAAAATGCCTCAAAGCAAAACTGCTTTTCATTGCAGCCTCCAACGTTGGTTCACGAGAGCGACGTGACTCCCGCAGCGCCGTCATCGCGTAGCCGCCCTGGCCGGCTCTGACAACGTTGCCGTGGCGACCCCCGCCCAACATCATCATCCTCCTCCTTTTCTCTTCCCCCTCCCTCCCCGAGCACGCACGCACACACCCACGCCGCACGCAACGACACGAGCGGTATTCCCGCCGCGCCCCTTCGTGTGGCGCCGGATGAATAATCCATGTGGAGGCAGTTGAGCGGGGGAATGCCGGCCAGGGGGGGGCGACGACGCCATGTGCGTCCCTCGTCCTTTTTCCGCTCGCCGTGGATTCCCGCATGATGGGCTCCGGTCGCGAATCCTCCACTTGGACGCCGACGGCTTTGGCCGGCGGTCCTTCTGACTTTTTGGATTGAGCGCGACCACGAAACGAGGCCATGTCGGAGACGTGAGGAAAGGACGCCATTCGTGACGACTCAACGCGGCGCGACACCTTTTCCCGGGAGGGACTCTCGCCTCATTCCTCCGGAGGACTTTTCAAGCTCAGGGAAGTCGCCATGTTCTGCTTCTGCTTCCAGAGCCCCTCCCTCAAGCTCCAAGCCCTGGAGGCTGATTTTAGCCCCCCCGGCTTGGAGCAAGAAGACCCCCCAGAGCAGAAGAACCTGCCAGCCCACCAGCAGCCTCTCTTGAGCGGGCAGCAGCCGAGCCCGCGTTTCCAGCACGAGCCGCTCCTCCACTCGCCTCCGACAACACCAGCTCAGGACACCATCGACTCATCGCGGCGCAGTGAGTGCGCGCGCGCACACACACACACACACACACAATAGCACGTTTCTGCATGTACATGGTGATTGGAAAGTAATTCTGACCATGTTACATAATGAATCAAAGAAGTTCTTTTTCTGGCCCCTTAATGCGTACGACAATTTGTCCCTTAGTATTTGTTTCTCTTTACAAAAGAGGGGGAAAAATTGTCCAATTTTTTTTTTCGTCGTATCTTTTCCCTCCAAATTTTTTTGACATCTTGTGCATACACAAAAAAAAAAAGTGACTTCCCAAAATAGAGTTGAAATTTCGTTGTCGTGTCGTCGTCTGTCCAGCAGCCCCGTCCCAGGATTCTTGGTGCACTCCCGCTGCGTCCGGCGCCTCCCCTCCCGAGGGAGCCCCGGGAAGCGGCGACCCCCCAGCCAGCTCGCCGGGCGGCCCTCCCCTGCTCTCCCTCTCCGCTTTCACCACCGGCGAGTGCCCCGTCCCGTCGCCTCGCTGCCCCAACCTGAGCGGCAGCCTTCGCTACAACCTGGACCCCGACGCTGCCCCGTCGCCGCCGTGCTCGCAGCATCTCCGCATGTGAGAGACAGACGCTCTCATATTTTGTCACGCTTTGCTCACTGATCGGAGGCGTCATTTGGAGATTCCGAATATGAACGTTAATCGTCATCGGCTAAAAAGTGAAACTACAACAACAAACGTTTTCCCTTTCTTTGGTGACCACTTTTTTTATTTCAAAGTTGATCTTGTTTCTTGGGGGATTTTTTTTTTTTTTTTTTGAGTTCTACATCTCCTCTTTTCGGTTTGACTCTTTTATGAATTTGTTAGTTTGTCTGTTTGGATGCGCAGGGCGCGCTGCAGCGTCCGCGCCGAGGCAGCCGACTGCTCCCTGTCCGTGTCCGTGTTGAAAAGACACGTTCAGACTTTGAGGAGGAGGATCAGACAGCTGGAGGAGCATTTTGAGCAGGAGCGGCTCAAGGTGAGCGCCAAAGTCGAAGCGAGCGGCTGACTCACGCTTTGCCTGCCGAGGGCTCTCGTCTCACCACCGCATCACGAACGGCACGTCACGACTTGGGATGATGGTTTTGTTTTGGTTTGTTTGCTTTCTTTCAGCCTTCCTGTTATGACAAGACCGCACATCCTGAAGTTGCCCGACTGATCAAGGAGCTTCTGAAGAGCCGCAAGCAGCTCAAAGGTCACTTGGCTTACACTTTGCTTTGAGGCAAAAATCAACAAAAACTCTTTTCGTTGTTCATCAAAGTCAAAGTTTTTTGTTGAACGAATCAAAACATGGTTTGGTGAAGGAGAAACCAAATTTTCGAACCGTCATTTGGTAGTTTTTATGCAAAGCACAACAAAAACACTTTTCTTCATTGCTCATCAAAAGAGACACAATTTTTTTTTTTTGTTGAAGAATTTGAATATTTTATTCTCTTTTTACATAAAAATAAATACAGCTGTTGGTATTTATTTTTATGTATTTTTTTGTGTTGCTATTTGTTTTCATGTGAAACAAACTTTTTAATGATTTGGATGAAAACTAATAGCTTTTTTGTTTGTATGTGAAACGTAATGTGAAAAGGAGAACTTATATTTGGAGGCACAGTACGTTTTTTTTTTTAAATGTGAAATGCAAAAAAAAAAAAAAAAGCACACTTTATTTGTGCTTTTTAAATACAGTTGAACTGTACTTAGAAGAATGTCCCGGAGAAACAAATGTTAATTGTCTTCAATTCAGTGATTCTTTCGTGAAACACATGCTGTACTCATCATGCACACTGAGACTAGCTGCTGTAAAAAAAAAAAAAAAATATTATTGAAATAATTCCTTCCTTTGTTCTTGAAAAGGGAATTATTCCTAGTTCTGTATCAACACTTTTTATCCCGCTTTTAATTGTCCCAAAGCTAAGAGGAGGTAGAAATAAATGGTTATGATATTTGTTTTATTGCCACGCCAGCCCCCAAAGTACCCAGTAAGTATGCACTTTCTTTCAATGATACGACATGATAATGCAAATTATTTCATGGACGCCCGTGGGGGCACGGACCGTAGTTTTAGAACCGCTGTTGTAAAAGCAGCATGTTCTCTGCACTCCAATGCTTCAATGCTTCGACTTCTAAATTGACTTCTCTCACCAATTACAATTCCCTTCGGGCCCAATGACTGAAAATGACACAGTGGGGGAGTGATTTCAATTTCTTCCCTTTTCGCCCGGGCTCCTCCTACAATTATGAAGCGCGATTTACTCCTTATAGAAATGAACAGCAGGAAACTTCTTTTTTTGCTGCTGTTGTTTAGAAGCTGCCCAAGGTGAACTTGAACGCTTGAACTTCTGAACTCGTTGGGAAATGGTGAAATAAAATGAAGCCCCGTGGCCCATTAGATCAAATTGTACATCTATTCTGACACACCCAATGGAGATAATAGAGTTTAAATTGCATGTTAGCATTTTTAATCATTAATTAACTGCTTTCTGTGTAATATCGTCGAGCTGAAGGAAATTAAAGCGATGAAGGCACAGTCAGAATCTAAAGCACACTTTATTTGTGCTTTGGTGACTTGGATAAAATAAATTGTGAAATTTAAAGATGCCATTTTTTTTTTAGTTTGAATGCAAAACAAAAATAAATTCTTTGTTAGTCCAAAGAAAAAATTCAAATTGTATTTTTTTTGTACGTGAAACCCAACGAAATGACACACGTTCCTCATCTTTTGGACAGAAAGTCAATGTGATCCCGTGTCCTTTGCGGTGGTCTGTGTGGTCGCGCAGAGCTGAAGCTGTGTCAAGCGGCGGAAGGCGTCTCCAAGGCCGCTTTCGACCCGGCGGCGCTCGAGAAGGGCCGTCCGCCCGGCGAGGCGGCGCAGCTCCGGCAAGTCAACAACAACAGCAACGCCAAACCCAGCGTGGAGGAAACGCTGCACGTCATCGGCACCACGCTGACCGAGAGGCGGCGGGAGCTCCGCCTGCCCGACGCCATCCAGGTTCTCTCTACCTTCTCGGCGGAAGGCAAAGTCCAATGTTGACCGTGACGCGTCTCGATGTGCAGGAGATGAACCGGTCCCAGATGAGCTTGGAGAAGTCCAGCCTGCAAAAGTCGTTGCTCTACTTTGAGAGTCTGCACGGACGCCCGGTAGGAACGCATTTTTGATTTAGCCGTCTTTATCTCTCGACATGTTTTGTCATCACACCTCTTTCGGTAACAATTTCCAGCGATCATCCTAATTTTGCAGTTCTTTTTTGGGGTGTGGGGGATACTCCAATGTGTGCCAATTGTCGGTAAGAGTCGGCTCTCCGTTGGTGTCTTTAGAGTAGCGTGAGCGAGCGGTCGCTGGTCAGACCTTTGTACGAGCGCTACCGCCTCCTCAAAGAGCTGCTGCTTTCCTCCGCCACCCCCACACTCATCACCACCATCGTGAGTAGAGAGATCGCCCCACCTGGTCACTCATCGCGAAAGAAAGTTTACAACAAAATCGTGTTTCCTTGGTTGTTCAACAAAAGAAATATGCACAAAACTTACAAAATTTCAAGATACGCATTTTCGATTGCTTTTGTGTTTTTACCCCAACTAAAAAAAAAATCCTGTTTCCTCTGCTGCTATGCAAATCTAATAACAGCACATTTAGAAATTCTTTTTTTATGCAAACCAAGACAAAATCATGTTTGTTTGGTTTTTTTTTGCGATGCAAAAGAAATGACTCACAAAATTTTGGAGTAAGCTGATTTTTCAAACAGACATGTTTTGGCACAAAGTTCTCTCTTTAAACCTATTTAGTGTACTTTGCTGTCCTCTAGTGGCAATGGGGGCAAACTACATGAAACCTTCCCCATGTGCATCATTGAAGCTTTTTTTTTTTAAACTGCGTTTTGTTATTGTACAAGCAATAAGTGGCTTGCGCTCGCGTGCGTGTCCGTGTCGCATCGCAGGAGGAAGAGGAGGGCTCCGACGACGACCACCCCAAAGAGCAAAATCCGAGGCAGCAGAGCGTGCCATTTGAGGGGCCGCTGCCCCCTCCCACCTTGGAAGCGTCCGACACGCCGCTGGTGTCGCCTTTGGAGGAAGTCGAGTGTCTCCAGCCGCAGATCGTCACCATGGCAACACTCCATGAGGCCTCCAGGTATGGATTGTGTACACTCAATCTTTTATTTATTTATTTTTTTCCCTGTCTCCAATCATTTCAATTCTTGGACAAGAAAAATGGCTCGCCAGGGCCCGTTCATCGTGACTTTTATTCATCACGCTTATTCATCACGCAGATTGGAATTACTGGATCATCTGCGGGTCACCCGCTTGGAAAAACGGAGGCTCCACCGAGCACTGCGGGAGTTTGAGGAGCTTTTCTATACCCTGAGTGGCAGGTACGCACACCCCCACAAAGAAATGGCCCTTTCTTTGCTTTTGGTTTTTATTCTTCTTTAAACAAACTGGGCGGCAATTGCTTACAACAAAAACAAGCAAACATAATTCAGTAAATGTAATGAAATCCAGTGGTGCCTCGACTTTAGGAGTGACCTGGCTTAAGTTTTTGGGGTCTTGAGTTGCGTATAAAAACTTGAGTGCAGCCAACTTCAGTTTAACTGCTGGGGATATTTTTTTCCCAAAAGTGCTTGCTTCAAGACATTGATATGTAAACTAAACAAACCAAAAAAACAAAGTCCACTAGCTTAATGCTAACACACAATGCAAAATGCCATTGACGGGCTAACGAAACCGGCGTTGATGTTGAAACCTTGAAAGAAGTTGTAGTTGAACACAATCGGACAGTGTATACAACAATACTCACAGGTATACATTCTTTATCCTCTGCAAAAAATTCTGTCTGACCACACACAAATTTCCCATTGAATTCATGCATCATGAAGGACAAGCTTTTTTTTTTTTTTTTACATTCTATGTAGTTTGTTACTAGTGCATGTTTTCCTCGAGTCAAGTACTGTACAGTGCTGTTTGAGTAAAAATTACAAAAGATTTGGTTGTTTTGGAGGGGGGGGGGGGCTCTGAAAGCAATTAATGGCATTTCCATTTATTTCAATGGCCAAAGATGATTAGCAGACTTATTTTGCCATTTATCCGATGGGCAGGGGCTACAGTTTACTGTTTGATATGCATGTGCCTTAAAAATGTTTTGCAACGTTTGGGGGGCTTATTTCCACCTGGTTACCAGTGTGATCAGGGAAGTAATGAAATTCAAGTCAAGGCACCACTGTATAAGGGGTGGGGGGAACTTCCACAAATGAAATTCCACTTAAACACGGCATGGAAAAAGCTCAGTGAAAAAAACAAAAAAAAAAAACCTACACACTTTTTCTGCTCTGTACATATCCTGTGGAAATAGTCTTTTTTTTTCCCGTTGGGTTACAATAGACACTGTACAAAATGATGTGAGTAAGGCAACATAGGGAGCGGTTAAGGAAGTTGCTGCGATCCCCCTAAACACTCCCCCCCCAATTGCTGATGAGCAAAGTGTGGTCTGTCCTGCCACAGGGTCTGTCAGAAGGAAGACCGTGGGCCCATGGCGGAGGAGTACTGCCAGTACAAGAACCTCAAAGCCAAACTGCGCCTGCTGGAGGCCCTGCTCAGCAAAAAACAGGACACGGCCAAAAGCAACTGAGCTTCGCAGTAGAGCGCTTGGTCCAAAGCCAACAGGACTTGGTCACGACGATGACAAAGGTAATGACGATGCACTTTACAGGAGGACAGTGGCGTTGGAAGTTATTTATTTTTCGTCCAAAAAGCACAAGATGAAGCAAGTGGATGTTGTCGACGAGCTTTAGGACCCTGAATGCAACGATGATGCTTTTGTACATTGGGACTTTTGTAAATATTCATTTTGGCGTGTCATGGCACTGACTTTATTTTTGTCTGATTGTGGAATATGCATTTTCTAAATAAAAAAAAAAGCATCAATTGCATGAGGGAGTAATAGGGCCACACTGAAGGGAGATGAGAAAAAGTCTCATAGCACAGTTGGCCATATTCAAGAAAAAAACTCAATCCACCAAACTGATTTTCAGGAAAAAAAAAAAAAGTGTCCATGTTAGTGTGGTGTAATGTTACAACCTGGTTTTCTTCTCTCTCCAAAATACAACTTTCTTGAAGAAAAAAAAAAAAAAAGCCGCCAAATTTTGACTTTCTCATCTGGGTTCGTTTATTTTCCCCTCCCCTTGTCAGTGTGACCCACTCATTTGTATCAAATGCAAGCAGTGAAACAGTGTCAGGGTTTAGTCCTTCATTGTGCTATCATGTGTAGATAGATGTATACAACTATCTATAGATCTGTATCACTCCCGAGAGAGATCGATATATCGCTATCGATCTTTCTCTCTCTCTCTCTTTCTATAGAGATTTATATATCTCTATAGAGAGAGAGATAGAGATATCTAGACCAATATAGAGCAACCTAGTTGCCGTTTGCAGTGTATCACAGTTCCACTTTGACTCGTCATCTTCATATGTCGGCTTGCTGAACTTTCCACTTCAATTCAGTGACGCGAATCAAGAGCTCTGCGCACTTCTGCTTGATGTCACATTCTACACACTCTTCCCGAAATGTACATATGAATGTGTCAATAGAAAATAAATATTTTTTCACATTTACCCCGGCGGTAGATTTTTGGCTTTTTTTTTTTTTTGCCTTTCCACCAAACTTTGCACGACACGACAACAGTGTTGCAGAAAGGGTTGGTTGTCATGGCGACGACACTCACAGTACACCCGTGCTGCAAAAAGACTGCATCATGCTTTTTTTTTTTGTTTGTTTTTTAAAGGTTATCACGCTTGTCCATCACAGTACACGCTTTCGAGGCCTGTTGCACGAGTTAGTCCGATTCCGCAGCTTGTTTTTTTTTTTTTGTTTTGTTTTGTTTTAAAGTCTTAGTTGTTTTTAGTACCTTTGGTTTTGAGAAATGACAGGAAGCTGGGGCCTCGCAAAGTCGGAAATATCAGTCCATGCCAGAGTTGGGAGGTAGCGAGAAGGTGTCTCCCGCTGGAACGGCAAACAAAAGGGATCAAAATCAATCGAGAAAGACGAACGACGTTTGAGCAGAACAAGAACAAAACAGAAAAATGTAAATCAAGCCGAGAAGCAGTCGTGTTTGTGAGCTTGGGTTGAAACGGGAGCCTTTTCCTGGATGAAAATTGGGTTGACGGGGCATTGCGTCACTACGCCTGACCAAATGAAAAAGTCATTTTAATCTACATTTATTAGATATTATTTTATACTATATATTAATGTTTATATTTGTTATTAATTTGTTTTTGTTTTTTTTAAAGACACTTTCTGTATCATGTATTTCACTTTTTGCGGTTTACGTCATGTTATGTGGAGGGCATCCTCAACTGTATTATGAGAATTTTTCTTTCCCTTTTCTACAAAACATTTTTTCAACTTCCTCCCAAATATTCGGAATTAGTTCGAGTACGAGAACAGAATGTGAACTTTCGGCGAGGAAAAAGTAACGGTACCAAAAAAAAAAAAAAAAAAACTTGGACTTAGCATGTCAGTGTAGCTGGCCTTAAGTGTGGCTGTACTGAAACACACCGCTTCATGCAAGTGTTGCCCCGCTGCAGTGCACGCCCAAAAAGTCCCGCCCCCCCGAAAAAAAGTCTCGCCCCCTGCCGCTAGCGTCCCACGCTGATGTTACAGGTCTTGCAGCTGGGGTCCTTCTTGGCGTTGACGGTGGACAGACTCATGAGCTGGTGGCCGCTGATCTCGGCCACCGTGCCCAGCGCCAGGTCCACGGGCTCCGTGTAGATCACCTCCAGGATCACGTCCTGGGCGTGACGGAAGACCAGGCCTTCGCCGTCGCCCCCGCCTTCCTCCCGCTGGCACGTGAGGAAGCGGTTGTCGGCGATGTCGAGGGCGGGCAGCCTCTGCTTGCAGAAGTCGTCCCCGCTCGAGCCTTTGGGCGCCAGCACCAGGATGACGTAGTGGTAGGCCGTGTACATGCAGTAGAAGTCCCCAAAGTAGAGGTTGGTGTCGGGGTTGAACAGGGCGTCGGCCCGCACCTCGAAGCGATGGCGGCCGTACGGGGAGTCCTGCGGGGTCTTGCCCGTGTTGAACTCCGTGTTGCAGCTGAAGAAAAGGCCCTCCAGCTTGCCGCTGATGGGAGAACCGTGGCTGCCGCTGTTGTCCTTCACCGACGGGAGCATCCGGTTGCCCTGCTCCTCCCTGGAACAGCAGAGACACCCAAAAAAAATCATAAATCAAGACACGTGACTGAGGATGAAGTGTGTAAAGTCAAAAGCAAGGCGTGGTGATGCCTTGTGCAGTTATTCGCCCTTGAATAATTTCAGAAAATGAAAACACTTGACAGTCGCAGAGCTGTAATAACAGTGTTCACCACTAGATGGCAGACATCAATTATGCTACAGCGCTAAAATTAAATTCCGGTCACATTTCCACGATTCCTCGTTTTGCTATTTGCCGTCAAAGATTTCAACCGAGGTCGCCAAGAAAACAGCACTTTCGTTGCTTGACAATTAAATGACCTTTTTATCCTACCACCTTCATCAATTATTCAACTAAATATTAGCTTTGACCCGTTTTTAACTCATTCGTGCATTTTACCAGCTTTCGGGATGTCTCTTTCTTTCTGTGGGTTTCACCATCACAAAAAGTCAACAGACAGCAGCACCGACAGTTTGTTTAAAGTGCTAAATGTGTGTCTTCCAAAAACAAGCTTCTTGTCTTTTCCGAATCCCACACCGGCGTTTCAGAAATCACGGCAAAGTTGATTACATTTGCAGAACGAAAATGAAATCAATGCAACGCGGCTCCCGTGCAAGCTTTGCTGCATTTTGTCTGCGCCGCCGTAATGACGTTAGCGCAGCGAGGGGAATTGCGCTTGTCGAAAGACAGATTTCATGATGACAAAGTGCTGGAAACAAAAGCAGCGCAAGGGCCGAGCTCGCTCGCCCGCTTGTGCTGCCGCCATTACGTCAACATTGAACAGCACATCGTGAAGAACTAACAATGCATCTTTGGCGTGGGCTTTTTAAATCTGCCGTTGTTAGGATGTCGGACGGACGGTGAGCACACCTGCCTCACTGTCCTGAGGTTCTGGGTTTGAATCTCAGCTGTAAAATGCGTGGATGTAAAATAAAAAGGAAACGTGTCTTTTGTTACCCACCGAATGGCACAAATTTCAGTCCAAAAAATAGCATCAAACAGTTAATGTCGTCATCATCAACGGGCTACCTGGCGTGGTCAAAATATTCCTTATTCTGGTTGCGGTAGAAGACGGAGAAGCGCAGCATCCGTCCGGAGATGGCCTCGGCCTTCGCCAGGAGCTGGTTGAGATGCACTGTGGAATAATCTGCAAAGAAGGGGCAAACGTCATTTTGTGCGAGCAAAGAAGAACGCTTGCGCGTACTTGAAAGGGCATCTGAGTTGGGGGATGAATGCAAATGAGCCTGCTGTCACGCTAAAAGGAAGTGGCAAACTTTTTTGTTTTTTTTTAAGCTAAAGCTTCACAATCTTTGCAGCGTTGCTTTTTGCGCTGCTTAACACGTACGTGTCACCCCCCCCTTTACATGACCTGCTGCCTCCCCTCCCCCAACATCAACTTCTGCTGCCATTAAATGCCCTGACCTCCACGTTGCCAGATAAACCGCATGCGCTCGCCTCGCTGCTTTATTTAATCCCAACCGTCCTTCCCTCGTCGTAACGCCCTCCCCATCCTCCCCATCTGGATGAATCTCGTTACCGTTCGCTCGCGTACTTAATGTAGGAGAAAAGTGCTTGGTCACATCCGCTGCGATGATGGAGCATCTTTCAGGGTGCAGTGACTTCTTCAAGGATACCTCCAACGTAAAGTCGCGACAATGAAAAGAGTCTCCGTTTTGTGTCAAAGAAAACATCAAACAAAGAGACAACAGAACAGCACTGCCTTCAGCACGCCCCGCCAGCTTAATGCTAGCATGTCATGGCTCATGCCATTGACATGCTAAGGCTTAACATTAACAGTGGTGGTTTTAGAAGCCTTTAAACACACAACTGCCTTGAAAAAAAGCCTGCTAGCTGAATGCTAACATAGAAGGGAAAATGCCATTGACAAGCTAATGGTTAGCCTGGGGACAGAATATCGAACAATACTCTGATATTCTTTAGATTCTTCAACCCAGGGATGACCAATGTGGTGACCGCGGTCCTGTTCTTAAAAATCGCTCGCCGCCGATGTGACATTGTCATTTTCTCATCGTGTCGTTATTTGAAAAATGTAAACACTGCTCGAGATTTCAGGAAATTAAAAGTGCGAGGAAATCATCGTCACCGTGACTCACCGGCGGTGCAGAACTCGACGATTTCGCTCCACTCCGACACGGCGTAGTCCCCGTCCGTCTGTTTGGACGCCGTCTGGACCGCCACCGTGTACTCGGTGCGCGGGCTGAGGAACCAGTGGCCGCGCACCGTCATGGGGAGGGGCACCGCCTTGGCCACCAGCTTGGTCGGCACATCCTGGAGGGAGACGCATCAACCGGACTTCAATCGCATATGCGGTGGGACCTGAAACACTTGAAATGTCATTCCTGTTGGTACTGGAGTACTTGTGTGTGGGTTGTGTGCCTTTAAGGGGCGTGGCCTAATGACTATGGTAGGATCTCGTTGGCCGCTTAGTGTACTACGCTCCATTTATTTTTTTCCGTAACAAGTTGCCACTGTAATTCACAAACACCACATCACAGTGACCCCCTTTCATCGAGGACGGACCCCGCCACTCCCCTTCCCCCCCACTCCCTCCAACACATGAGCCTCGAGGGACAACTGCACCAATATTTCATGCTCCGCCCAGCAACGACGTGGCACAGTTCTTCTCCCGACACCCCTGCTGCTGCACACTTCATCCAAACAGCGGCGCGCCGTTGCCCGCCATGATGTCAAAACGAGCTTTTGATCTTCACATAA